AAAACACCTGGGGTTGAGTGGGACTAAATTTCTGATTGTAGACATTAGAGGGAGCTGGAAAAACAAAGGAGGCCCCAGTTTTGCAGGAAGCAGAGATAAGAAGATCACAGACTAAGGCCAGCCTGGGCAAAGACAGTGAGACCATATCTCAAAAAACAAGCTGGTGCTAATAATGAGAGAAGTATATGTAGAGGGATCTCAGTCTAAAGCTGACCCAAGACAAAAAATACAAAACTTTATCTGAAACTAAAGCAAAAAGGCTTAGGATGTGGCTTATGTGGTAAAGCACTTGCCTAGCAAGCACCAAGCTGAGTACAAATCCCAGTACTGAAAGAAAAAACAAAAATGAATAGGAAAAGGTACCTCTCCATGTTCTGATTCCAGCCACCCACCTTCCCCTACAAGAACTTTCCTCCCTCTTCCCCTTTGCCCACTCTCAAACCAAGTACTCACTGGATGCCGGATATCAGTGATGAGCAGGACAATGTCAGACATCTCTAACACCCGCCACAGCTGCCTCCATGTCTAAAAAGACAAGACCAATGGAAGAGAACCTAACCCAGAGTCCTGTCCAAACTGACCCCAGACCAATTTTTCCAGGGTCATAATGCCCCAACTGCTGGACCCCACTCCACTGTCACCTCCAGGTTGTGTTCAAAGTAGCTGAGCTTCTCAGAAGTGTAAGCTCCATGTATCTTCCCAAGATATTCCTGGAAGCTCCGTTCCTCTTGGCTCATTAGTTGGTCCTTGGACATCTCATAGTTCCAAGGAGGACGTCGGGGAAAGTCCAAGACTAGGAAATCAGAAAAAAGTCCAAGCAGATATGAGACAGCTCTTACCCTTCCCCAAGAGCACTGCTGATGAGAAACATCCAGATGCCTTGCTCTCACTTACCTGAGCCTGGCTGATAGACTTCTCGGATATCCAGCTCCAGCACTTCCGCACTGACAGGAGTTAGTACTTGTTCTCTGGCTGTTCTCTTACTTCTCTCCACCTCTTCCCGACTGTCCCGTTCAAAATGCAGCCGGTACCTAAAAGAACACATTCAGCCACACACTCCCAGTTTTCTCCCTTGTTGGGCAACTTCATAAACCTTCCAATCTCAACCTGTTCAAGTCTCTTTCTGTAGGCCTAACACACTGCCTCCCCCCCACTACCCACTAGTCTGTCAAGAAGGATCCTTTCAACCACTTTTAAAAGCAAAACTCTGCAGCCCCTCTAGAAGGGAGGATTATAGGCTGCTCCAGAAAGAGCCCCA